GAAAGATGGCTCTCCTCAGACTGGGCAACCCAAAATAAGCTAGGGGGCGAGGGGGGGAAACAGCATAGTTGGTGGGTTTTTAGGATACTCCTGAGAACATTCCTCAGCTCATGAGCTCACAGCTCAGTCCCAAATCGCAGGAAAGTAAAAAAACCCTTTCTTGGGGACAGAAGTCCACAGAGCTAAGGGCTCCGAATTTCCAAGTTAGAATTTCATCAAGGGCTGGGTGACCCTTTCTTGAATAGCCAGCTGATCCCCAGAAGTCCTGATTTGCAAGAACTACAGTCTGTTACATCTAGGAAGAGAGATGAGGACTATCTCCCTGGCTTCTCATGCATCACCTCCTTCCCATTCCCTAGAGCCCATAAAGCTGATCCTTGGTAAAGGTCACCTCCTTCAGGTGGGAAAGCTTAACTGAAGTGGGGATTTTTATATAAGTCTCATGTTTCCTGGACTCATAGGAGCCTCCAAGAAGATGCTGGAAATAACCCTTATTGAATTGAAAGAAGCTTGAAGTAAGCACAGGACCAACCCCCGTGACTTCCATGGCTGAATAACCTGGATTTAAGAAGGGCAGTTAGAACTCCATACAGAGAATACAACTAGATCTAGATCTCAGCCCCTCAGTACATGTCTGACTATTGCACAGATGCACATGTGCATAGATACTCCCCTCTCCAAAGGTGGGGGCAGGGGAACGCAGAATAGCAACACCACCAACAGGACAACCTGATCATTATCTTACTTGTCCTTCACTATGTTGAAATAGTTAAAAATTAATTTGGACAACAGATTGTCCCTTATCTTTGCTCTCTAAATCTTGCACAGGCTTTTAGCAAAAAGCAACACAATTCTCACCTGACCCTCTGTGGGCTGGAGATTCCTGCCTACACTATTGGGTTCATTCATTCACATCCCCAAACCTGAACCTACAACCAAGCTGTTAACTCCATATATTTAAAATCCACTCTACTCACCCCGTGCAGTAGCCTGTCGCTCCAGTGCCCTTGAATCCAGTCCTTTAGGGTGGGCCTTGCAGTTGGAACCCACCCACCTCTCCTTTTTTTCTACCTCTGCTATTAACATAGCCCCTCCTCTATTACCTCACCAACCAACTATTTTAGAACCAAAAAGTCTTTGTCTAGTCACAGACACTGTAAAAGTAACATTTGTTTTACGTTTTTAAATCTAATGTCTGTGTCTTCCGCAATTCTTACTGGTTTATCTAATCAGCACGTCCTAGGGAGGTTTATTACTTGTGGGTTTAGCTTGCTTGAGCCAGCTGAGGCATTCCCCCTGCTCCAGAAAATCAGCTCCTTTAGGAGACGATCCCTGGGAAAGGTGTCTTCTTTGCTTTGCCTCTTCTCTTCAGAGGCCTGAGATTATGGAGCACGTTCCACATCCCACCGACCCTCCAGTTCTGCAAGCCCCAATTCCTGACTCTTCGCAGAAGGATATGGACAAGATAAACGAAGAAGGCATTTGAACAAATCAAACCCTACGAGAAAAACGTTCTGTACTTTGTGATTTTTCTAAGTTTTGTGCTGATTTTTGCCCTCATCTTAACTGCTTTGTAAGTAGGAAAGATATAACTATCAGTGGAAGAGGGCAAGGAGAAGGCAGAGACAGTGAGTGGGAAGTGAGGGGAAAAGAAGTGCTAGTGGGGAAGGGACACACAGTGTTGGGTGTGGGCACACAATGTTGGTGGGCAGACACAGTTTGGGTGTGGGCACACAGGGTTGGGGTGTGAGCACACAGTGTAGGGGGTGCAGGCACACCATGTTGGGGGGCAGACACATAGGGTTAGGGTGTGAGTACACAGGGTTGGGGTGTGAGCACACAGTGCTGGGTGTGAACACACAGGGTTGGGGTGTGAGCACACAGTGTTGGGTGTGAACACACAGGGTTGGGGTGTGAGTACACAGTGTTGGGTGTGGGCACAGTGTAGGGGGTACAGGCACACAGTGTTGGGGGGCAGACACACAGTGTTGGGTGTGGGCACACAGGGTTGGGGACAGACACACAGTGTTGGGTGTGGGCACACAGAATTGGGGTATGAACACACAGGGTTGGGGTGTGAGCACACAGTGTTGGGTGTGGGCTCACAGGGTTGGGGTGTGGGTATACAAGGTTGGGGTATGAGCACAGTCTTGGGGTTGGCACACAGTGTTGGTATGTGTGAGCACACAGTGTTGGGTGTGAGCACACAGGAGTTGGGGTGTGGGTGTACAAGGTTGGGGTGTGAGCACAGTGTTGGGGGTGGGCACAGTGTTGGGTGTGGGCACAAAGTGCTGGGGGATGGGCACACAGTTTGGGTTGTGGGCACACAGAGTAGGAGGGATGAGGAAGAGGAGCATGCTGAAATCTCTGCTAGTCTAGGCATCTCTGGACACCAAGCACTGGGCTCAGTGACACACACAGCTTCTCTTATTTAACTCTCAACAGTCCCGCCAGGCAAGGATTTTCATCCCCAGATGAAACCTTGCAGATATGGAAACAGACTCAGAGCGTGTAATACTAGCCCATGGACTCATAGATGTAGGAGGAAGAACAGGGGTTGGAAGCTCCATTAAAAAATGAACTCCACCCCTTTTCTTACCCAGGTCCTATTGTAGATTGACTGAGTGTTTTCAGACCCATATTTCAGGGTTTACCTTTTCTTTCAGATAGGAAACTTATCTTCTGTATAAAGTCCTGACTCTGTTCCTAGCTCACTGGGGTTTCCCCCAGTGGAAAAGCCACACATGCAGCAGACATGTGGAAAAGTGTGTTTTGGAGGCCATGGCTGAGCCATAACTTTAACCCTACATCCTACTTTCTTCCCATAATCCATGAAGTCAAAGACTAGCAAGACTAGGATGACCGACTCACCTTGGTTTGCCTGACACTTTTCCAGTTTCAGCTCTGAACGAACTGCAACCTAGGAAACCCCTTGTCTGGGGCAGATGGGGATAGCCTGGCCCAGAAGACACAGCCTCCAGCCTCAGGGAGTTTCCAGCAAATCGGGAATTAGACAAATACACAAGCAGAAGAGTGCAAGGCCCCATAAAACAGCACAAAGGGAGGGAGGGGTTCAGTAAAAGAGAAACCATAGATGTTTAGAGGACTTACTCATTTCACAAATGGTCATTGCTTACCTTCAAAGTCTTGGGCCATAGATTAGGCCCTATGTGTTAAAGAAACACTTCATGGAGGGGCAGCTGGGTGCAGAATCAGTTGAGCATCCAACTCTTGATTTCTGCTCCGGTCATGATCTCAGGGTCGTGAGACTCAGCCTGTGAAGGCCCTGCATGGGCCGCTCATGGAGCTCCATGTCAGGCTCTGCACTGGGCATGGAGCCTGCTTAAGATTCTTTCTCCCTCTCCTGCTGCACTGCCCCCTTGTGTGCACACAGGCGCACAAGCCTGTGTGCATGCGCACTCTCTCAGAAAGAAAGAGAAAGAGGAAAGAAGGAAGGAAGGAAGGAAGGAAGGAAGGAAGGAAGGAAGGAAGGAA